AACTACAATGAGATACCACCTCACACCTGTTAGTTAGAATGACTATCATCAATAGGACAAGTAAGAACAAGTGTTAGAGAAATTGTGGGGAAAAAGGAACCCTCATACGCTGCTAATGAGAATGCAAATTGGTACAGACACTATGGAAAACAATACGGAAGCTCCTCAATAAACTAAGAATAAAATTACCAGAGAGAGAGACAGAGATAGAGAGAGACAGAGTAGGAGAGAGACAGAGAGAGAGAGAGAGAGAGAGAGAGAGAGAGAGAGAGATCATGGAGGAATTTCAAAATATAAATTTTAAGTAGAGAAGAAAAACCTGAAAAGAGACTAAGAAGGACATTGATGAGGTGCGTGTACCAACCCTTCTGAAGGAAGAGCCCCAAGGATGGGCGGTGAGGATTAAGAGGCTTTCATCCAAGTTCTCAGCACAGAGGTTACTGCTATCTTTGGATAAGAAGGTGCTCATCAGACTGGTGACAGTGGGAGAGGGGGTAGCTTGTAAGGAAATAGAACCAATTTTGTGTATGCAAACAGTCACCCTGAGAAATACAGTCATAAAGAGTGACATAGAAGAGGAAAAAGAGCAGAATCTCAGTTTGGGGTGCCTAGAGAATCCCACGGGAACTAGCTCAGCGACGACACTGGAATTCTCAAGGCCCATTGAAATTTGCCTGTTACAATGGCAGGAAGGAGAAATAAAGGTGTTCTGATTTGAAAATTATGAGATTCAATCGACTCACTTTCAACATCAATTACTAAAAAGAAATATTTCTTAAGTTTGAAAAACAACTAATTATTGAATTTCATTGGACAAATATTTGATTCAAAAGAATAAAGACATCTCCAAATAAATCTACATCCTATAATTACCTATTTTTGATAAATTTAAGAATTTTTGGTTTCATTATGAGGATTTCAGTGACATCTATTCATTGTATCACATGCATGGCACAACACACCTTTACATATGACTAGTAAAATATTGTTATCCATTTTCTAAAAAGGTACTAGAGGTTCCTTAGAATGAAGTGGCTTGCCCAACATCATAAGTAGAAAATATGATGATTGAAAATAATTCCATTCTCCTTCTACTACAATAAAAATAGAAATGATACTATAGTTAACATTAATCAAGACAAAAGGTTTATTTTTTTTTCATTTGTAGTGTTTAAGGAACATAAATTCTCATCATAAAAATACAGCAATACACGAAATGTAATTATTTTGACTATCTTCACCACCACAATATTAGCAAGAATAATATAATTAATCCTCTGAGGAATTTAACATGCAAACTTCTAATAATGATCTTATAAAAAAAAATTAATTCATTTGTTTCAAAGTAAAGTCCTTGGATTATTTTAAAGGCAGTGGTAAATTGCCTTATGGGTTTGCCTCTCACATATGGGCATATAGCCAAAGTGATACACTTGGGCTATTTTCCAAAATCTTCAGATTAAATGTACCAGCCTGGGCTAAAATGGGAGATATAGGTTTGTTATGTAATGTGTAGACAACGTCACACACCATACACAGAGACAAAGCAGCAGAACACCAAAAAAAGGAAAACCAAAACAAAGATCTTTTGAGAATATTTATACACAGAGGGACACAAAAAATAAGACATGGAGCTTGAGGTCTGTGTGAATGCAGTCAGGTTCTCTATGCCCTCACACCTGTCTTTTCTCCACTAGCTCATACTTCCAGTGCTTCCTTTTTGTCCCGTCTTAAAATCCCCCCTTTTGTGTTAGTTTCTTACTGACTTTTATATAAATAACTTTATTAGATCTTGCTCCCACTCTCTATTCAGCTTTCTTTGCTATTCACACATTCTAAATCACTAGGTGATCAGATCACAGGACTCAAGCAGCTACAGAGGAAGGTGGACAGGGAGAGAGACAGAGACAGCAGAAAGATAGAAAGAGGCAGACGGAAAGAGGCAGAGACAGAGAGGGATAGAGAGAAACAGATAGAGATAAAGACAGAGACAGAGAGATGGAGTGTCTGCAGTCAGAGAGGCAGAGAGAGACACAGAGAATGAAAGAGACAGATATAGGCACAGAGAGACAGTGAGAGGAACAAAAGAGATCAAGACAGACAGAGAGACAGACAGAGTGTCCACAGGCAGGACCTCAGCTCTTTGCTTGAGAAAGGAGTGAGCTCAGAAAGAGAAGAGCAGTGGACACACTTGCCCAGTCACTTTTTATTTTTTTAGTTTTATTTTATTATTAGTGTCAAGTATATAGCACATTGGTTAGACACTTATATAGTTTATGAAATGATCCCCCTGGTTATTCTAGCATCCATCTGGCTCTACATATAGCCATTACATTAGTGCTGACTGCATCAAAAACAAGTGTTGGCAAGAATGTGGAGAAAAGGGAACCTCATACACTCTTGATGGGACTGCAAATTGGTGCAACCACTATGGAAAACAGTCTGGAGATTCCTAAAAAAATAAAAATGTACTTACTTTTTGACCCAGCAATTGCATTTCTGGGTATTTATCAAAAAGGAATTCAAAACACTAATTCGTAAAGATATATGCACCCTTATGTTCATCACAACGTTATTCACAATAGCCAAGATATGGAAGCAACCTAATGTCCATCAACAGACAATTAGATAAAGAAGTTATGGTTCATATATACAATGAAATGTTACTCAGCCATAAAAATAAAATCCTACCATTTGCAATGACATGGATGGACCTAGAGGTTATTATGCTGAGTGAAATAAGTCAGACAGAGAAAGATAAATACCATACGATTTCATTTATATTCAGAATCTAAGGAACAAAAAGAACAAACTCATTGAAAACAGACTCGCAAATACAGAGGACAATCTGGTGAATGCCAGAGGTGAGGGGGTTTGGGGGGCTTGGAGAAAGTGGTGAAGTGTTAAAAAAGTACAAATTAGTAGTTGAGAGATGGTCATGGGGATGGAGAACATGGCATAGGAGATGTGTTTATTGTTAAACATGCCAAGGTTTTTGATAATTTCCTCCACAGCAACATATAATTAATACAGAAACAAAATAGGTCATTAATAACAATAAGATGGTACACATGAATGCAAGAAGGGAAAACTAAGTATGTGCTGAAGCAATTTGGAAAAAAATCATAAACAAAATGACTCAAATGTAGTTCTTAAAGATGTACAATATAAACAAGATTTGTATGAAAAGGGCACAGATACATACATAAATGAAGAAAGCAATTTAGACAACATTATATCAATGGAAGTAAGTTATTTTGCTTTCAAATTAGTGGTTCTGGCCATAAATATTCTTGTCTGGTTTTGCCATTTATTTACAGTTTAGCCCCAAAGTGTGTGTGTGTATGTGTGTGTATGTAACGATCTTAACTTTTTGAAATGTACATTATATCCTGTCATGGAAACTTAACATGAGTAAGTTGAATTTAGAGCAGAAAGACTAGAAATCCCATTTAGTCAGTATCCAGAACTACTGTGTCTTCACAATATAGCCATTCTTCCAACACAACTAAAGTTTTGATCTTCTATCTCCTGCTAATCTCTGTGTATTGACTGATTTATAAGTTTTACTGAGAATCCTGTGATAAACAGATGTTTCAGTTATGTATGGATAGACAGCATGATTCTTCATGTTGTAACCAAGAGGCCTTACATTTTGCAAGCTCTCCACATGTCAATGAGGCATTTATTTTCTTGATCTAGTATCTTTTCACTCAGATATTTTACCTTCCAGAAGATTTATGTAATTCCCAACTATGAATACCAAATATCAACTGTTTGTTTTTGGGGGTTTTTTTTAAGCTCAATTTCTTAAACTTTGTCCAGGAATGTGTGTCAAGCTTCTTGAAAACACAAGCATATGTCATTATTGAAAATACAGTCAGGGTACAGATTTCATATTTACAGAGTAAAATTGTAGGCAAACAGTTAAGTTCCTTTAAAAAAAAAAAAAAAGGCCTGTAAGATATTAGCTTCCTTTCATACCCTTGAGATAAATATGGTATAAACAAAGGAATGAAATTCTAAAGTCACATATACACACTCACTGGGATTATAAAATTAGCTTCTTCTCATTTGAACAGCACCTAGTTGTCTTTTTTCCCTTCCTTCCCCTCCACCCCTTTACCCAGCATGTTTGTGTAGAGCTAACAAGGGCCCCTAAGGGTTGGGACCTGATCGCTGTAAACATCTTCAAATACAATGATTTGTTACCTGCTCTTAGCTCTATATAGCACACGAAGACTTATATCTGCACCACCTTTTGTTAATCTCCTACTGTGCTGCGCAGGAAGAAACAGTCAGCAGAGGTGGTTAGCAGGTGAGGCAGAAGGGAGGGATCAGGCCTACTAGCCCAGGGAGGGCCACAGCAGATTCCTTTCAGCAATGTGGCTTCTGCAGAGTCTGGCAAAGACATCAGGTCAAGATTTCTGAATAATAAAGTATGGGCAATTTTGAATAATTAACAAAGAGATTTTTGATTTATTTATTTTTTCTCTTCTCTTTGAAGAACCAAGTTCTGGTTATCTCTTGGAAATACCTTTTATTAGCAATCAGGAAAAAATACTGTCTCCAAAGAATAATTTCCTTCCCACATTTGGACAAGTCTTTTGACTTTTCTCTTTCCTTAGGGTAAGACTACTACTACTACTTATTAATTATTACTATTAGTATTACTATTATTATTAATCTGTTGTTCCTGAGAAAGGAGCTCTTAGAAACAAGGCTAGCTTGAAAAATGTAAGACATTATCATTTCTAGAAATGTTACTTCCCGTGTTTGTAAATGAGTGCCTGCAAGTGTTGAGAATGATATAACACAGGAGTCATCAGTGATTGTTGTTATTATTTTGCTGTGACCCTTGATGTTGATCTGAGTAGTATGAGTTTGTGATAATCAACAAGGACCAACCTGATGACTGTCTTGATAGTTCACCATGATCTTATATCCTCAAGGAACATTTCTTCTCATTTTCACCTCATCAAATTAATGCTTCACTCAAAATGACTCAGGAAAATTCAAGCACAATCATCAAGTTTGTCCTTGTTGGATTTTCCAATCACCCCCAGGCTGAGATGCCCCTGTTCTTTCTCTTTTCTCTGATCTACCTGGTGAATCTCTTTGGAAACATAGTAATTATCATTTTGGTAGTAATTGATTCCTGTCTCCAAACACCCATGTATTTTTTCCTCTGCCACTTGGCTTTTCTCAATGTATTTTATACCACAACTGTGGTCCCCAAGATGCTCTGCAACCTCCTTGCTACGAAGAAAGTCATCTCTTATGAATTGTGCTTTGCCCAGACCTACATCTCCCTGTTAATGGGGGCAGCAGAGTGCACTCTTTTGGCAATCATGGCTCTGGACCGTTTCGTGGCCATTTGCTACCCTCTGCGATACCTGCTCATTATGAACTGGTCTGCATGTGTGCAGCTGGCGGTGGGGGCCTGGACTATCAGCTTCTTTGCCTCGGTGGTGCCTCTCTACTTTACCACAGTCCCCCTCTGTGGCCCTTATATTATTGACCATATTTTTTGTGAAGTACCTGTTCTTCTTCATATGAGCTGCACTGATACATCTCTGCAGGAGACCCTGATGGTGACAGGAGCCTCTGGTATTCTCTTGCTCCCGTTCCTGCTCATTACTCTGTCCTACCTACGCATACTGGTTGCTGTGATAAGGATGCATTCAGTAGAGGGTAGAAAAAAGGCTTTCTCTACCTGCAGCTCCCACCTGACTATGGTGACCATTTATTATGGGACAGGTATGTTTATGTACATGAGGCCAAAATCTCTGTATTCAGCTGAGAGTGATAAGTTGATCTCCTTGTTCTATGCAGTTATCAATCCTGCTTTGAACCCACTAATCTACAGCCTGAGGAACAAGGAGGTGAAAGGAGCCTGGAAGAGAGTCTTAGAGAGAGTGGTAGTGTCCCAAAGGCAAAGGATGCTGTCCTGAGAGGCTGGGAATTTATACCCCTCACTATACTCTCTAAGGCTAGTGACATAAATAACTTATTAGCTACAAATACATGTAAGTCTGTGTCAGAATTAGTAAATATATATCAAGTCATTCTCTGACACACTCTACTATGACCCTGCTTTACAAGACTGTTAGTAGATTATACTCTTTCATTAAATATTTCTACATATCAGAAATTTAATTCCAACAACATCTAAATTTCACTTAATGAGAAAAGTGAAATTGAAATTTTAAGGCAAATTTTCTGACTCCTTAATTTTACATAGCCTCCATATATCATTATCTTCTATAACAGTTACACACTTATTTTTTCTTTATAAAGTGAGTATCTTTCACTACTATTTATTAAATCAATGTCTACTTCAAAATTCCCATTTCACTAATAGTGTAAAATCTTTCCATTAATGTAGTAAATATAATTAAATTCAACAAATAATAATACTTCAGGTAAAAAGTCTTTATAAATTGTTATTTTCTGGATGTTTCCCAGATATTATAAAACATAATCCAGGTCTCTATCTGTAAGCTGATAAGCCTTGATATTTTTGTCAAACACCAGTATTTTCAAAATGTCACTACATTCTTATGGCCTGTGTGTTTACTCATACCTACTTTATCACATATGTATTTTACATAAACGTTGCAAACTTCAAGTCAATTATCACCTTCTCTATCAAGTCTTTTCTTAAAAACTAAACATTCTTACATTATTGTAAATTCTACCTTACTTGATACAAAATCTTAAACTTCAGCTTTTTATTACACATTTTATTTTGCTAAATTCCCACGTTTTTGAAAACCATGAAATAATTTATTTGGACCATGCATGGAACATTCATTCTCCCCAGAAACCTCATAATCTAATACAGAAGAAAGTACATGCTGACTTCTACATGTAGTGCATGGGGAAAAAACCCCAGCGAACTATAAGGCCAGCAGGAAAACCCTCTTTTTAAAGATTATTTAGGCTGAATCAGAAGAATGAAGTAAATTCATCGATTCTACATGTCAAAAAGGATCCTTTTAGATGAAGGTGAAAAGTGAAAAAAAAAATCATTGAAAATAGTTCAATATGTCTTGAGTGAACTCCACACTGTCCTAAAAGTGTATGTCTACTTTTTCTCTTTGCTCTCAATAAATAGAACAGGATTTTAGCATTTGTATTTCTCTCCCCTTAATGCCAAGTTCCTGTGTAGTCTTTATTTGTTGAATTTAATTGTATTATGTCCTACCTGATTTGATTATATTTAATTTATGATTTCCCTTGTCCTACTATTTTCTAATAAAATATTGCATTGTTTAATATAACATCTACTTTTAGTCACTCAAAATATTATGCATTTTATTTTCTATTAATATTGAGAGTGTAGAAATTTTTGAAAAATAAAAGTTCCATGATGACAGCATCCAATACCACAATGAAGAATCACTTAAACCTCATTTTCTGCATAAGTAATTTTAAAAATAGAAAAAAATATATTTATTGTAGAACAATTGAGAGGGTTACAAGGAAAGTTTTATATGTATAAAATTGTAATAAAATTTAGTTAATCAAGTCTCATCCTTGCACCCAAGACACAGAATTTTTAATGCACTTTGTTCTGTTTCTTTAAACCAATGTGTCATATAAATATTTTTTGAACCAGCTGCAGCATCTCTTTCAATTTTTATTAATCTTACAATACTAAAATGTCCTGTCTTTATGTACTTAGGGTGAGTTTCTTTCTCATTTCGATGTACTATTTGTCTGGTATTTTTTTGGATGTTGTCATTTGGTCTTTTCCTAGAAATGAATTTAATTCCACGTAACATATACATGCAACTAAACAACTGAAAACATTGAAAAACAACAAATTGATTTGTTGTTCATGTTTTCCATTTCTAAGGAAGCTCTGGGGATTTATTACTGGGGCTCTAACTTTGAAGGAGTAATTTCTTTCCTGGGAGAAACACTGATAATGAGTGAGGTTTAAGAAGAGTAAAGAAAGTTGGTTCTATTTAGGTTCAATATATGTACTAATTAAAAATGATGTCCAAGGGATTAGAATAATACCTGGAATAAATTTTCATAAGATTAATCCTGAGACCTTTTAATAGTTCTCCAAAAAACACACTCACACAAGCTCATGCATCTGCACACACATGTGCACACACAAACACACTCACACATGCTCATGCATGTGCACACACATAAGCACACACAAACACACACTATCCTAGTTCAGGAAATTAATGAACTAACACAGTCTTTACAAAGCACTGACAAAAAGAAAGGCAGAAACAAATTAGTTAAAAAATAATTACCAAATAAAACACTTATTGGCTTGTATATAAGGTAACTATATAATTTATAATCTAAGATGAACACTATTGAAAGTAAAAGGAAGCAGTATTAATAATTTACATGGACAACAGACAGAATCCAAGACTGTCTTGGTCTGAAAAACTGAGGTCATGATATTCTACATATATTCTAATTTATTTTATAACAGGATAATTATATTCAAATATATTATTATAATTATTGGTGACAAACAAAAACAGAATTTATTCATTTAAGTGCTGATTTGCAATGAGGTCAGCATCATGGATCATTGCCCTATAAGATGTTCCTCCTTTTTACCTCCCGTTCCTCTTTTTAACAACTAAAATTTGACATCCATTCACAAGCCAAAATGTCTCTTTGGAAGAAGTGAGATCTAGTGCCATGCAATTGGGCCCAGTATTCTGCCTGCCTGTGTGCCAGAGAATGGGCACAGACTGGGGAATGGCAAGAGCCTGTGAACCAGGTTCCTGCTTTCTCAGCTGCTAGCAGGGATTACACTCAGATGATAGAGCTGTTGTAGAAATCCCAGTTTTCTGAGGAGAGATTCCAGCATCTATTGGAGCACAAAGATCTGAGTTTGGATGAATTAGAAAAGCTAAGAGAAACTTTGCCAGTATCACTTCTTCCTGTGCGTGGCACAGCACAGTGGTGAACAAGCTGATGGTGAACACTAATGTGAGGGAGAAGAGGAGTTGTGGGTGAGTGCATGGCTTTCCCATGGTGTGGGACACCACTGGGAAAACAAGATTCTCTCCCTCAGCATCCAGAATACTGAGGTGAGATCTTGATGATAAGGGGAGGGAGGAGGTCAGGAAAAAGGCAGAGAAACAAAGGATTTTGGAAGGACACGGTTCCTGGTGATTGTGTTCAGGTTTCTGCAGAGAGCCCACCCATGAGCTCCTGGGAAAACTTCACACAAGGATCCCCCACCTCATGCACAGGCACACTCAAAGCCCCAAGTTCAAAACCTCTATATTCTCTACTCTGCAGCCAGCAACTTGTGCACACTCCTAAGAGTGGCAGTAAGAGTGAGCCCCAGTAGATAGTGAGTGCATGCAGAAAACAGGCCAAGGGAGGAACCATAAACATTAGCTGTAGTACCACTTTCTGAAAAACAGAACAAAACAAATGAGTATCCAGTAGCCATCCTGGTAAATTATAAGATAGAGAAAAGACATACAAACTTAAGACTCCTGTCATAAGTGGAAGGAAAAAGTATGGTGCCTCAGTGTATTCATACAACATTGGAGAAAGCCCCAGAACATAAGTAGGGCCAACAAAATGACTCTCCAACCTGAAGACAGCTAGTGAATATTGCAGGAGATGACTGCTACTTCTAATGCAAAAAACAGCAATGCAAAACTCCAAGCAATATCAAGTAAATATGACAACAATGACATCAGAAGCATAGCTGCATGAGTAGTCCCCCTGACCTCTCATCTTGCAATTACAACAAACTGAAGAGCTACAACACAATGGAGAACACCCAGCTTAACACAGAGACACATCTGAGAGATTTGTGCATCAAAATATCTGAAGATGAAAAGAATTGGTGATATTGAAGACAGAAAACTGGAAATAATGCAAATGAAAGAAGAGAGACTTGAGAGTAGAAAGAAAGAAAGAGAGAAAGGAAGAAAGGAAGAGAGAAAGAGAGAGAGAGAAAGAAAGAAAGAAAGAAGGAAAGAAGGAAGGAAGGAAGAAAGGAAGGAAGGAAGGAAGGAAGGAAGGAAGGAAGGAAGGAAGGAAGGAAGGAAGGAAGGAAGGAAGGAAGGAAGGAAGGAAGGAAGGAAGGAAGGAAGGAAGGAAGGAAGGAAGGAAGGAAGGAAGGAAGGAAGGAAGGAAGGAAGGAAGGAAGGAAGGAAGGAAGGAAGGAAGGAAGGAAGGAAGGAAGGAAGGAAGGAAGGAAGGAAGGAAGGAAGGAAGGAAGGAAGGAAGGAAGGAAGCAAGCAAGCAAGCAAAGAAAAACTGTCTTGGTGTGGGCCTCTTTGGGTTCATCTTGTTTGGGGTCTCTGCACTTCTTGACTTGTATGTGTATTTCCGTCACAGCTTAGGAAAGTTTTCTGTCATTATTTCTTCAAATAGGTTTTCAATTCCTTGCTCTCTCTCTTCTTCTTCTGCTATGCCTATGATGTGAATGTTGTTATGTCTGATGTTGTCCCAGAGGCTCCTTAAATTATCTTGATTACTTTGGATTCTTTTTTCTTGTTGCTGTTTTGATTGGGTGTTTTCTGCAACCTTGTCTTCTAATTTTCTGATTCAGTCCTCTGCTTTGTCTAATCTACTGTTGAGTCCTAATATATTCTTTATTTCAGTGATTGTATTCTTCATTTCTGACTGGCTCTTTGTTATGCTTTCTATCTCTGCTTTTGTTTACTATCTCCATTTTTATCTCTTTGTTTATATTCTCACCAAGTTCATCTACTCTTCTAAATTCATTGAGCATCTTTATAACCAGTGTTTTGAACTCTGCATCTGGTTGATTACTTGTCTCCATTTTGTTTAGTTCATTTTCTAGAGCTTTGTTCTGTTCTTTGATTTGGGATATGTTTCTTTGTCCCCCCGCCCCATTTTGGCTGCCTCCCTCTGTTTGTTTCTATGTATTAGATAGAGCTGCTAGCTCTCCCAGTCTTAGTAGAATGGCCTTACA